GTATTTTATCTGGCAAGTTTGCATTTGAAAATATTTTAATCCAAGGCTGAGAGGCGAGATATATAGGAAGAAGGGAGAACATATTTAATGTTTCGCAGTTACTTTGTGAAACTAGTACAGTGGTAGTACAGGTTAAGTACTTAATTCGTTCTGAAGGTCCGTTCTTAACCTGAAACTGTTCTTAACCTGAGGTACCACTTTAGCTAATTGGGCCTCCCACTGCTGCCGCACCACTGCCACGTGATTTCTGTTCTCATCCTGAAGCAAAGTTCTTTATCCGAGGTACTATTTCTGGGTTAGTGGAGTCTGTAACCTGAAGCGTCTGTAACTTGAGGTACCATTGTACTGGGATAAATTGAGGTAACTTGAATGTAAGGACATAGTAGGGCACAAAGTAAAACAGAGTGAAGGATTCAGTCATAAGCAATCAGTTTTAAGTTCAGTTAGTGTCAATGAAAGATATTTCTGCTATTGTTATGAATGGGGAATAAATGTGCTTTATTTACAGTACAATTCTACAATGCCTACTCAGAAGGTAATTCCATTGCATTCAATGAAGTTTACTTCCAAGTATGTAGGTACAGTATAGGACTTCAGCCACTGGACTATTCCTCTAATTCAAAATCATCTACAGATGCCTTTCACCCATAGCTTGTTACATTTCTATTTTAAAAGTTCATTTTAAATTCTCAAAGAACAATTTGCATTGGCAAATTAAATAAGCCTGGTCCCCCTTATGTAAATGGCTTCTCTGTGATTCCTCTGGGCTATTCTTGGGTTCAGAGATCAGGTGGTGGCATGCATTATATGAACTAATACTTAACTGATAAATCTCCACTGCAGTTTCTCTCATTGCCACCTCTCCTTTTGAAGCCATTGTGAGATGGCAGTCACAGTGTAAGTATATTTGCAGAGTACAGATTCCTGTACCCTTCAAAGAGACTGTGTTGGTATCATTTATTTCCTTGAAGAAAAACTCCAGAAACTTAGGTTTATGAACATCAGTGGTGCTGAATTTCTAGAAGGAAAGCTGTCGGAGATCTAACCTTCCTAACAAATACAATTTAAGGACAGTAAGCCTCTTCCTGCCTCCATCCTACTTTGTATTGGCTTTTTGCCAATTGCTTTGGGAGAAGTGGATGTATGACCTAAAAGGCACTCATATTGTTTTTTCATGTGCTTTGGGGCTCAAAATATGTTCTGTATTGAAGCCTTATTGAACCCTGGTTCATAATAACCCCTGGCCAGTGAGTTAAATTATGGAACAGGAGATTTGTAAAAGCTTTAATCTTCTCACAAGTTTATTTGATATATATTTTTTAAAAAATGTTTTGAGTTTAGTTTCTGTGTGTATGCTGTGTTTTCACGTATTCCATAAATGTTCACAAGCGCTGTTTTTATGTCAAGGGTTGTGAGCTGTGCTGACCTCATAATTAATCTGCAGAGAAACTAGCTGGATAAGTTTACAGTTTTAATAGGAGAGGTGCCAATTACTTCATTGCTAGCTGACTTGTAGCAGAAGACTGCAGCCTAGGAAGTGATTGTTGTAGAAGTCAGTACTGAAAAAAACAGATTCAAGAATCCATAAGTTCCAAATGGAAAGGGTTTAAGACGACTCAATAATGAGATCATTAAGGTCGAATAAGAGTGGTTTCCATGAATTCCAAGCATTTTATCCAGTGGTGTTCTTTACTGATGAAAGGCTGCTTGATCTGTCAGGACTTCCATTAGCAGAAAGAGTGGTGGTACTTTTTGCTGAACCCCCTTTCCTTTGCAGCTACATTGTCCATCTTTTTAATCTGCTCCAGTGGTTTGAGGAACTCACTGGAACAGCATTGTAGGTAGCACAGCAGACTTCAGGAAAAGGGGGAGATACGTAAGGGTCAGCTTCGCACCCTCCTTTTGACTAACAGAAGCCTCTACTGGATCAGATAGCCTTCACTCAGCAGAGCAACATTATTTGATATAGACCAGTATAAAAGAAAAAAAAGAAACACAGTTGCTTGAGTAGCTTGAAAGAGTTACACTAACTAAAGCATTCTTCTTTTTGTTTAGTTTGTGTAAGAATCTGAACACAAGCAGCTCTGAAAGGGACCCTGTCTATCAAAACAAATGGGAGCTGTGTATCAGAGAGAGAGAATGTTAATATAATTTATTCTTTTAAAATATAACAAAATGCATTGCTTCCTTCTGACTTCAGAACATGATTCAAGATGATGATTTTGACCCATCAAGCCCTCAGTAGTGTGGCACCTGTGTGGCACAGAGAGAGCATTTTATCCTTTGTTCCATCATGACCTAATAATCAAAACAGAATGGTGTCTTCACTGTCTGAACACAAAAGAAGAAGGCTCTGTACACAATACTATTTACTCTATACCCACTAAGCTCCCACTGCTGGTTTTTGAAGCAATATGCACATGACATTAGCCACTGTATTCTGTAGTTTCGTGAGAAAGATTTAATTGCATTTTTTCCCTCAGTTTCATCTGAATTGAAAACTTAGGGCATGTTCACTTTGTAGTTAAACTGAGGTGTGTACACTTTAGACAGCTCCGGTGTCCATGCAGACGACTGTGTATACACAGATGACAACTTCACAAATAGTTAAGAGGGTACTTGCATCCCAAACCCTTTCCTCATGCTGGTGTGGACAAACTGGCTGACTTAGAAACACGTCAAATCTAACTGATGTGTACAGCAGTGTGCAAATGAAATTTGAAGCGCAGCAGAGGGGGGAAATGACCTTGCTCCATTTTAAACTGGTAATAGCTAAAGAGAAAAGCATTCTAGGAGACTGTGGTGCAGATTTGAAAATCCCTTCCTCTGGGGTACATTGCCAGAATCTGAATGATCTTTTAGAAGTGTTGTTAATTATGAACAATCAGGAAATAACATATATTTGACTAAGTTTTCTGTTTGTAGTTCTCTTAAGCTGTTATTACTACCAGCATTTAAGAAGGTACAGAAGAGAAGTTGAAGTAAATAAACCAGCACATAAGTGATTAAAGAAAAATGAATTTACTGTTGTCAGAAATGTGTGATGATCATGATCTTAACTATTTAAATGGGATGGGGGGGGAGAGGAGTTCATGTAAGGGAGGAGAGGAAGGAAGTGTACATGTGTCAGATTGCTGGGGGTGTGCTAGCCTGCAAAGTGTTCCTTAACATTAGAGACCAGGCACTATTACATATATACCAACGTCACAACTTGTGCTTAGCCCAGCCTTTGCCAACCTGATGTACACTTACTCTCACACCCAGCCAGCATAGCCAAACTTGCTGGATCTTATGGGAGCTGTAGTCTGTAGTTCAAATCCTTTGGAAAGCACCAGGTTAATTTATCAGCCATGGCCTAGAAATCCCTCCTCCATTTAGCTAGTTCAGAAGATCCAACAGCATCCTTCTTTCTCCATTTTTTAAAAAATATATATTTCTTTGCAGTGAAAATTGTTTTGGAGACGGTGGAATAGAAGTTTCTTATTGCCAGGCTGAATTTTTTTAATTTTTATTTTAAACTGCACTTTTAACCCTGCAACACAGTGGTTGATCTGCTTTTCTGTACTTTATAGCACTGCATACTGTTGGAAATGTAACTTTAGCTGGAATGATACAGTTTACGTTCCACATATGCTGCAGAATTTCACTTTTACTGTCCTCTTGAAATAGCAAACCTTTGTTGTATACTTAAGTCAAACAAAGGTCTTAGAACTTAAAACTCTTGTGCCAAAATGCCTCAGGCATTCTATTGTTTGACAAGTAAGACGCAGTGATAAAGTAAGTTGTAAGTGTAGCACTTATGACTATCTGACAGTATTTCCTGATGAATAACTTTTCACATTTATACAATTTATACATTTACACACAGAGAGAGACTCAGAAAGTTTTTGCAGACAGTAAATAAAGGATCACCAGCATCATGCTTGTGAGTGCAATGATCTCCTTCAAGTCTTTCCCAGGTACCCACAAAACCTCTTGAGTCCTCCCCCCCCAATGTCCCCTTAGTCATAAGGTGACATTTTCTCTTCTGTCAGGTTTGTGGAACTGAAGGAGAATGTTGCATGTGACTTTGACCCAAATCTCTTAGAAAAATGAATTGTCTCTCTGTGTGTGGTTTCTCTCTTTCTGCCTCTTGAGAGGGGCATCAAATTGAGAGGGGGAGATAAGTAACCAGAACAGGCTCTTACTCAATGATATAATTTGATAATGGACCCAAAAAAGTTGGCAAACCCTGCAATTATGGATTAAAAAAATACAGATTTACATCCAATTTGCATGAGCAACACAGTACATGATGAAATTTAAGGCACAGAAAGACTGCTAGTCAGTATCTTTCCCTGAATATGAATCCTTCCTATGAATGATATAGCCTTCAGTGATTGAGCCTGAAGTATCAATAGATCCTTCGTGCCAAGGTAGGATTTCTCCTAGTGGTTGGATAAGGCTTTTAGTAATGTTGTGGGATTGGGATTAGAAATGAATGAAGTTCAATCTAAGCTGTAACTGGGGCTTCCATTGGTAACAATTGTTTGGTTTTATATAGAGGAACTCATGATTGAAACCAAAGAAAATCCAGAAATCTTTTCCCAATATGGTGTTGTTTTTTACTCCCTGCTATTATCAGTTTCTCCTGCCAACCTAGCAGTTCGAAAGCACATCAAAGTGCAATTAGATAAAATAGGTACCGCTCCGGTGGGAAGGTAAACGGCGTTTCCGTGCACTGCTCTGGTTCGCCAGAAGCGGCTTAGTCATGCTGGCCACATGACCCGGAAGCTGTACCCTCGGCCAAAAAAGCGAGATGAGCGCCGCAACCCCAGAGTCGGCCACGACTGGACCTAATGGTCAGGGGTCCCTTTACCTTTACCTATTATCAGTTTATCTGAGCTAAACCACTTGCTGAAAAAGAGTAGCTTTTTAGCAATATTAGGCACAGTTAGGCCTCCATAATCGTCGTCATCACATTTCATTTTAAACTTTTGGGAAATCTTTTCTTTCACCAGCTTCTGCAACATTTGAAGACTTTCAGATTCGACCCCATGCTCTGTTTGTTCATTCGTACAGAGCACCAGCCTTTTGTGACCACTGCGGAGAAATGCTGTGGGGTCTTGTACGGCAGGGACTCAAATGTGAAGGTGAGTTAAAGATTGGCCTCTGTGCAATTGCAAAAGAAGTCTCCAAATACGTTGCAACTGATATAAATGCTCAAAAATTTCTGGGCAGCAACAAAGAAATCAATCAAGTTTAGACCATACAACCATAACGCCCCTCCTTGGAAAATTCTTTATGCTCTCTCTTATTTTATTATGATTAATTCAGTAATAAACCACTTTGAAGTTTTACTACAATCAACTGGTATATAAATCTTGCGAAAATAAATAAATAGTACTAATTACTACTGAGGTTCATGCTCAGATTTACAATCTCATTCACTTCTATTGGAGACGCTGCTTTTATGGGATAAAGAGGCTATAACAGGGGTGCTGCTAAGGTGGGAGGAAAATCATTAAACTTGACTTAGGCATGCACATTCAAATGTGCATGCACATTCAAATGTGCATGCACATTTGTGCCCACCTAAACATATCTATCGCCTGTCCCCATACATGCTGCATGATTTGGTAGACACAATTGTTCTTTTCCTCTTTCATGTACCATAACCAGGTCATCTCCAACTAAACCATGCTTTCAGTAGACCTACTGAAATGTAGGGAAATGCAAGAAAACGGTCTGCTGGTTGCCATCAAAAGAGTTCACAATGACACCTCCTTTTATCCCTGATCCAAATGCAAGCCAGAGCCGTCCTAATGAAGCACTCTGAGCTGGCTCAGGAAATCAAGGGTTAGTGCCCAACTTACTGAGATACCACCTAAACTCCACACTGTTGAATAAACTTGCTTATTCAAAAGCAGGCATTTAAGAAATCCTTTCCAAATTACTAGTTTTCATCTGTTGCTTTAGATTGACATAATCTGAAATCAGCATTATTTTTTTTTAATTTTCAGGATGTGGCCTAAACTACCACAAGAGATGTGCATTTAAGATCCCTAACAACTGTAGTTGTGTCCGGAAGAGACGGCTTTCAAATGTTTCCTTGACAGGACTTAGTAATATCAGGACAGTGTCTGCAGAACTTTCACCTACTACTACAGATGAAACTCTCCTGGTACAAAATTTATAAATATTAAACATAGCAGGTTCTACAATAATAAATGAATGACTTTTGAACACTTGATCATTGCTTTTCCACAGTAAACATGCATATATATTTCCAGAAATCTGCACACAGTAATATACCATGAAAAACACACACCAGTTTTTATGTGCTAGACTACTGCAACAGGGCTGGCTCAAGACTTTGTCTTGATGATATGAAAGGCAAGATGGAGGTCCCTCCTCTTCTCACATATAGAAGCTGACTGGACAGATATTGAATTCCACACAGATGGATGCCCTTATCAAACATTCCTTGTGCATAAGGAAGTTCCAGTGTGTTCACAAAGCTCTCGTGCATGCATATGCTTCCTTATTCACCGATTTATATACTGGCACCATACATGTCGGCCTGACAGACACTCACACCTGGTAAAATTTTATTATAAATGTTAATGTGCAAAATATTGCATGCCATAATCAGCTAGCCTGCCACAGAAAACGAAAGCTAGATTCACTCTTAATCCGCATTAAAAACATCTATTACTTGCACTTATCATGCTAGACCTATATAGATTATAGTTTGAACTATTACATTAATAAAAATAACAAAAGATCCCCTCCCTTATCCAAAATACAAACATTGCTCTAAATAAACTCTCATGGGGTTTAAAAAGTAATTACTTATACATTCCACATGTTTTCTTACATGTGCATCTTTCCCATGCATATTTTTTCTCAGTGCACTCCCCCCCCAAATACATATTTTACCAACTGAAACTGTTTGAGCTTTCTTTTTCTTATAGAGTCACATTCCATATTTGAGCTGTAATATCCATTAGAACAGAGTCTGTTTATAATATGCCAGCACTAAAAAGCTCCAATAAGAATTATGAGCACCCACTGTCTTAGCAAAGTCTGAAGAATAATAAGGTTTAAAAAACCCTCTGGTGTAATTCCTGTTCTCTTAATGTGATATGTTGCTACATAGTTGCATGCATGATTAAGTAACGTAGCAACGCAGCCCCAATAAATAAGGTCACTACAGAAGTGTTGTCAGCATTCTTTTCATATTTTTGGGGGGCGCATAATAATTGTCAGTGAATTTTAGTGGTCTTAGCGATGAAGGTTCAGTGGTCTTAGCACTGGAGCTGTTATTGTTGTTTAGTCTTTTAGTCGTTTCTGACTCTTCGTGACTCCATGGACCAGAGCACGCCAGGCACTCCTGTCTTCCACTGCCTCCCGCAGTTTGGTCAAACTCATGTTGGTAGCTTCGAGAACACTGTCCAACCATCTTGTCCTCTGTCGTCCCCTTCTCCTAGTGCCATCAATCTTTCCCAGCACCACTGGAGCTGTACCCGGGTTCAAATCCCCATTCAGGCACACACATTCATTGGGTTGGCCTTGCTATACTATTGACTCTTCCCAATCAGTTAACAGCAAGACCTGCGAGAGGAACCTGCTGACAGGAATTGCTGTGGAAAGGAGAGTGCTACAGCTCAGTAGAGCAAAGGCTTTATCTGCAGAAGGCATCAGATGACCAGATACAAGTGAGAACAGGCTTTCCTAAGCTTTAATAGTTGCATGACAATCTTCCCAGGCTGCAATTTTTATTTTTTTCTCTTCTACACAACTATTAAAGCTGTACGAGCTCTGTCCACCCTTTGCATCTGGTCACACCATGAAGGCTCTAGGTTCATTCCCTGGCAACTCTGGATAGCAGGATTGTAAAATACCCCCTTTTCTCTGATGCCTTAGAGAGTCATTGGTCATCAAAAGTAGGCTATAGGCTACTAGGGTAGATGAGAAAATTAGTGGACTTGCTTTATCTCCATATGGAGATAAAGATAAAATCTTATAAAGCACACTGCACTTGGAAAGTGAGATGTAAGAATAATAAAGAACAATTATAATAATTAATACACAGAGAACTAAAGAGCTGTAGGGCAAGCCCAGGGGCTTAAGGACACTTACTAGGATTTCATTGACTTCTTAAGTAGCAGGGTCACAATCTGCCTTTAAATATTTCTTCCATGTCCCAAATGACTTACTACTGTGACAAATCAGAAGCTCACTGTCTTCAACACATGGAAGTACCTGCAATGTTCCTTGGACATTTCCAACAATAGTTGGGATTTATCACTGGGATGTAGTGTTTGAAGAAGAAATTTCACTAGACAATCTCAAGCTCTTTGGCTTGGTCAAAGGGGCTGACACATTTACACAACACAAATTGCTGTATTTCACTACAGGACTTATAACAGATTTATTGGCAATTCAAGTGGCAGTAAGGCCATAACCTAAATAAGAATGTGTAAACATTTGCATTGGCACCTTTGAAGAGTTCAGAAAGTCCCGTTGTAAGACATATTTTGCGAGATTGTGCCAGCATAGCTCTTGGGGCACTTCATACAAAGTGCTTTTGTTCTGATGCAGGAAATCTTAAGTGTGGGTGAGACATTACTTTCTCACATGTCTTTCTCATGTGATACGTGGCAAGAATACAACGGGGGGAAATGATTCTTGCTTTAAAATTGTGCATTTAAATGTATATTCAAAACATTTTATCTGTGTTGTGAATAACAGTCAAGTATTATTAATTGAAGTTCTATTATTTGAAATTTTTCAGTTGATTCCACAAAGGCAAGGACACCCAAGAATGGCAACCTGCCTTTATCAGTGTATCATGGTAGCACCTGATAACCATGATAGCAAAGACAGGAGTGACTCTGGGATAATATTTGACAAGTCCATTTGCAAATATTTTTTAAAGCTTCAGGATAGATTTCATTTTAGGACAAGCACAGTCTTCTAAGATAAGTTTAGAGGCAAACTTCATCTAGACAAAAACAATAAAACTAGATATTATTTACTTAAAGTTAAATAAATGTGTAATCCTATGCATGTCTGCTCAGAAGTAATTTCTATTGAGTTCAATGGGACTTATTTCCATGTAATTTTGTACAGATTTGTAGCTTTCGACCATATAAAAAATGCCTATCTATATCTCCTAGATATGCCACCATCTAAATACAAGAAGGGAAGTATCAGCAGGTTTGCAGAAGTACACAAATCAGTAGTGGGGGTGGGAAAACTATAGCTCCTAGTTGGAACAGGGGCATTCCACACTTCAACATTTTGTTGCAGGTCCCATTTGTTGGAAGTACATACAAAAATCAGTGGGATTAACCATCTTTTTTTGTAATCCAAAGGTTCTATACATTTTGTTTTTGACAATGTTTGAAAGTTGTTTTCATTATTAAATAGTCTAACCCTCTGAATCCTATTTGAAGCCCCAAAGGCAACATATTTAAAATAAGCAAACAAATATAATAGAAGTTTGAACAAATAATAGTGTTGGTAGATAAATGCAGACTGGTTAAACTTTTTTGTTATTATTTGAACAATTGAACTTTATATTTGCTTCCCAAATAACATGGCTTTATGTTTTGTTTTTCTCTGTTTGTTTTGACTGTGGTCTTCCTTATCTAGATTCCTACAAGCCCTAGCTTTGAGGTATGTACTTCTTTTATACTCCTATCTAATATGGCTAAATGGTAAATGCTTAGCAATTCAAATTTTGCAGTGAATTAATTTCATAATGAAAGTAGTGCTGTGCCACATTTCTTTCATTTGGAAATGTGGTCATACTTTTCATGTATTTTGATCTTAAAATGTATTTTCAACCCCAAAATTAGAAGTTCAGATGCTCTTTTGTAGTTCAGTCTTGGGTGATCTCCAACTAACCCGTTCTCAGAGTTGACTCACTGAAATCAAAGGAACACAAGAAATCTGACCATTGGACTATTCTAGTTCATTAGCATCCACACACACTGGCAATGGCTCAAGCTTGGCTGTAAAGGATAAAATACGATATTCCTTTGCAGGCACATCTTGAATTCAAACCACACCAGTAAAAGAACTCTGTGGGTTTTGAAGTCACTTCAATACCCGCTTTCGGCAGAGATCAGCTATCTCTCAGGAGTTTAACTGTTCACAAAAGGGCTTGAAGTTACCACTGCTCAGCTGCCCGAGCCCATGAAAACCCGCATGCTACATAGATATGCACATGTGGTTGGTGCTCTTTTTCAAACAGCAGCTCTGAAGCTGGGGCAGGGGCAAGCAATTACCTCCTTTGCCTTTATAAGTCATATGTTCAGTCTATGACATCTCCAGTTAGAAAAGACATTGGAGAGCTCCTGCTATATGTTTGTATGACGTGTGTGTGTGTATCTGTGTGTTGGCTGTTTTTTATAAGTAAAACCCACAAACGGCTATTTAAAATAAAATAAAATAAATATAATTTCCAACAATAATAAAGTAAAAGGTAAAGGTAAAGGTACCCCTGCCCGTACGGGCCAGTCTTGACAGACTCTGGGGTTGTGCGCCCATCTCACTCAAGAGGCCGGGGGCCAGCGCTGTCCGAAGACACTTCCGGGTCACGTGGCCAGCGTGACATCGCTGCTCTGGCGAGCCAGAGCCGCACACGGAAACGCCGTTTACCTTCCCGCTGGTAAGCGGTCCCTATTTATCTACTTGCACCCGGGGGTGCTTTTGAACTGCTAGGTTGGCAGGCGCTGGGACCGAGCAGCGGGAGCGCACCCCGCCGCGGGGATTCGAACTGCCGACCTTTCGATCGGCAAGCCCTAGGTGCTGAGGTTTTACCCACAGCGCCACCCGCGTCCCTAATAATAAAGTAGTATACAATTAAAGGCTCCTGCAAAGCTCACAACTTTAATGAAACCACTGATAATAAATAACCAAAAACAAAAACAGCATTTTCAACCAACCCAAGAAGTTCAATAGCAGCACAGAACATCGCTCCCAAATAAGCTAGCAAAAATAAATAGGTGGTAGCTTCACAGAGGTCAGGTGGCAGTGAATTCCTATGATGTGGGGCCACCACTGAGAACTCCCTCTTGTGCCTACCAGTTTCATTGGTCTTAGTAGTGGACAAGTGGCTCTATCTTGATCTTATGGTATGTGTGTAGGCAGTCCTTCAAACAGCTCTGACTCAAGTTTTTAAAGGTAGTATTTTAAAAATATTAATATTTTAATAGACATCATAAAATTGTCTCTCCAGGCATATTCCAGGTCTGTAAGTCCTAAATGAACCAAGTAAAAGAGAGAATAGACAAGCCATTGTTGCTATTTAGCAGCTGTCACTCTCTTATTTCAATCAATATTTCAATTCATCCACAAAGACCTTGCTGTTGTCATGTAGAAACAGGTGCCATTGCTTTAGATGCGTTGTAGCTTCTGTTAGCCTACCCAGATCTCTTTAGCTAACTTTTTAATTTTGTTGTTAAAAAAGGACACAAAGCTGAATTTTTTTTTAACATTTGATTTTCTCCTAAATTGTACCGAAGGCAACATACCTTGCTTATTTTTAATCACGTAAGTACAATACAGCCTGCCTAATAATATTTTTATTGCTTGGGTTGAATCAGCTTTACTGAAACAGCTGGGCAGCTGTCCAATTAAATATCTGCACATGTGAAACCTTCTTAGGATTTGCAGAAGGTGCTTGAAATACAGTGCTGTCCAGTCTAAAAGCAATATACTTGTTGAGAAATAATTGCACTGATTTGCTTAGTGCCTGGAGGGGTTGCTGGCTTCTGTAGTTTCCATAATGTAATCTAGTTAAGCAATTGTTTCCTGGTAAGTGTCCAGGCTTCCTGAGTCAGGAATCTGGCTGGCTACCCGGAAAATTTTTTTATTCACATCTCTCTTTAACTAACCACCAACACATTGGATAAAGAAGTATGAGTCCAGAGCAGTAGATCTTACTTTTAGCAAGCATTTTTACAATAAATTTGTATTTTCTGAGAAAAGCCTTAGCTCTTGCCCTACATTGTTAGAATCATAGCTTGCCCTACATTGTTAGAATCCAACTGTAGAGTTGGAAGGAACCCCAAGGGTCATCTAGTCCAACCCCCTGCAAAGCAGGAATGTCAACTAAGGCATCCATGACAGATGATCATCCAACCTCTATGTAAAAACCTCCAAGGAAGGAGAGTCCACAAAACTCCATCCAATGACAAAGGTGGTATTTTGTAGCTGTCACCCAGCTTAAAAAAAAACTTAGCTAATTGTGTTTCTAATTGATTTATTACTCAATTAATGCATAAATTTACATGTGTTAAGTTCTGAAGGGGGAAAAGCATATCTCATTTTAAAGTATACTGAGTCAATCCGTTCTGGGGAAGAAATGCAATGCAAAAATAGCAACTGTGCACCTAGTCCTTCAGCAACGCCCAAGACTTTCCCTGACATTTCTTGGTACCACACTTCCCTGAAGTTTGATTATCACAACGAAAGCTGCCATGGAAGGCGTGGGAGTGGAGAGGGCAGTGACAAGCCCATGCAATGGCTAGATAGATAAAGATATAGATAAAACACACATGTGCACATATGCACACACACACAGCCAAATTTGAATGTGCAAGGTATATGTTTGTTAAAAACAGTGTCTGCTAAAATGACTTTTTAAACATCTGCCTCCATATATGCACATTCTAGCAAAAATCACCTCCGGAGTCTTTTGGGAGAGAGAAGAGATCCAATTCCCAGTCATACATTGGGCGACCTATTCAACTTGACAAGATTTTGCTTTCCAAGGTTAAAGTGCCTCATACGTTTGTGATCCATTCATATACACGGCCAACGGTCTGTCAGTATTGTAAGAAGCTACTCAAGGGACTTTTTAGACAGGGATTGCAATGCAAAGGTAAGTGTATTTAAGAACTCAGAGGAGCTCTGTCATATGCTCCCAAGAATTCCAGTTATGTATTTTTAAAAGTTCATATGTGTGTTTTTGTTTTGCTGCTGCTACTTATGGGGTTGGATCCAGAGATAAGTGCACGCAGAAGTTGCCTCTGTCTAATCTTGGGGGATCCCCTTCCCCCATGCTAAGCCATCGCATGCAACAAGGACCCTGACCTATGGCAAGGATGGGAGGCTGCTGAGGGTGGAAGGAAGGATGAGAAAGTCCATTTCTGCCAATTCCCTTCTGTGCTCTTCAGAAGAGCTGTGTGGGACATGGAAGCATTAGACCACAACTTCTGGAAACCCTACTGCATCAATTATGACTTTAGAAATTTCACCATATATTGACCACAGACTCATCTGACATTGACTATAGCCACAGGAGGTAAAAAAACAAGATTTTTTTTTATAAAATGAAAACATGAAGTTTTGAGCATTCATGCAGAATGGTGGATTGCACACAGCTTTGATAATACCGCTCTCATCATTAGTGGGCGTGACCTTTGGCAATCAAATCAGCTGCCAAAGTAAGGCTTCGGTTCCTTGACCCTTGAAGATAAGACAAAAATATACAGAAATATACAGAAATTTGGTCCGTATACCTTCCTGGACCAAAACCTCCTAAGGAAAAGATGCTCTTCCTGAGAACCTCATTTACACAACATTCTGCTTTTTCTGTTTATATATAATCTGTGAGTAATGTGATTCTGCAGGGGTGCAGAAAAAACACAGTATGTGGAATTTGGCATAGGATGCAGCTCAAAATTTCAGCTTTAAACTGTAAACAAACCCTCCATATTTTTTGGCCTTTATGTCTGCAAAAATATGCTTGAAACTGAATGTGCAATGCCTATTGAGATCTCAGTAGTGGGAAGGCAGCTGCAGCTCAGTAATAAAACCAGTGACTACTTGTCCCTTATCATAGCCAGGTAACCCGGACTAAAGACATACTTTTTCCAAGGCTTTCCTAGACCCCCTAAGATTGGATGATTTTATAATATCTGCTATTATGTGGCTTTTGTAATACCGTTGTACTGGTATTTATGTTGTAACTCTGTTTTTATGATACTCTTTTTTATTGCTTTTCTTTTGCATTTTTGGATACTGCTCAGAAGTATTTAAATGTTGAATCATGTAGAAATACTTTCAATTAAATGAATAAAAAAATGCAGATCACAGAGTTCAGATTTTTTGTGCAGATTCCCCCGCCCCCCCCCCCCGGAGGTATAGATGTGGCTAAATGGCATTTTTGTTAAAATATGGCATCTTTTTTTAAAAAAGTATTCAAATAAACATCCTGATGACTGACACCCTCCAACTACGTATATAGATTTATGGGAAAGTATGCTGTATTCTGGGGGAGGGGTGGGAGGGGGGAAACCAATTGTTTTGATAATGTCATGCTTATTTCCTGTTTCTTGAAAATTATTATTAATAATAATATTTTTTAAAAAAGGAAAAAAATGTCATTCTGTATACTGACTCATGTAAGATACAATGTCAAACCACATTTGTTGTTGTGAATAAGTCCTATCATTCAGCCGGAAAAGTAGGGTTTGCATTTGCCCTGCAACCTAGGATCAAACCATGTTTTACAGTCCTGGTTCACGGGGAAAATGCAAACCAAACTTAGCAGAATTGGACGCAATGGAAGGGAAGTGGGGAATTGCAGGTGCAGGTTTTGTAAGCCTGAGGTCTACCCCACGCTTGTTTACGTTAGCACCAAAGCAGAGTTTGGAATTATGATCGAACCGAAAGAGACCATCTTACAATTATCTTTTGTTATATGCTGCAATGTACAAATCTCGACACCTGTTGATGTCGCAGTATCATTGGCTGAAATTATGCATCTTATCTTTAATTAGATTGCAGGTTCAATTGTCACAAACGCTGTGCACCCAAAGTGCCAAATAATTGCCTTGGGGAAGTGGCCATTAATGGGGGTAAGTTGCATTGAAGGCTGTAGCAATGCGTGTTCTAAAAGCCTATTGCATAGAGAGAAGACACTTAGAAGTAGATGAGGGGTTATTTTTAAAGAAAAGTCATAGGTTGCATAATACACTTGTACACTAAAATATATTGAGAATGAGCTGTCAATGTGATGCTTTAAAATGTGACAAAGTGAGCATATTTTTTAGACTTCCTGAGTTATAAAGAATGGAAAACCAAGGCAGGTTAAGTCTGGAACATGTGAGTCTTCTACTTTATCTATGTATGTAAGTAGTTGCTTCTTTTATAGAGGCAGAGAAGGAGGGTCATATACCTGAATCTCATGTCAGACAATCTAGGAAGAGAAATACAATATTTCTTATATATAAATGTGTGACTGTGTTCTGGACAACTACAAAGAGGGGAGAAGGGGTGTCTCTTCCTACCCCCTCCCCTCTCTTCTCCAGTGTCTGGTAACATTCCACCATGACAAAAAAGGTCCCACTGGCCCTTTGAAAATGTAGTTTTATACCTAGAGAAAACTTTAGGAATCCTAAAACTTGCCTCTTCTTTGAGATAAGTATTGCATGTCCCATAAAAGCTCATATCTAAGCCTCGGATAAGCAAGTTTCACCAGCATCTCTAGATGGGCATTTTGCTTGCATACATTTAGATTCATTTAGTGTTCTATCCCCAGTAGAAGTTCCCCAGAACCGATTGTGTCCTCTTGCTCTGTGTGTAGGCAGTCCTTTCTGTGAAAGCAAGCTCTCATATGCCACTGTTAGAAAGAGAACCATTTCTCCTTGCCTTGGTGGAGGTTGTTATGCCTGCCAAATCCTTGTCTTAGGGAAGTGCCTTGCAGGAAACGACAGAAGAGTGTTTGTCACCGAAGATTGTCATCCATCCAAGGATTACACAAATGTTTATTAAAAGTTCATTCCATAGGTGGGAAGCAAGATTGGTAGAATTATAAATAAGCAAGGATCATTGGGGAAAGACTCAACAATTTCCTCCTGGCACAAAACGTGTATCAGCAGATAGAAATGAAACTAGAGAACTGGCCCCATTCCACCAGTGTGATGTTATTTCTGGATAAAGCATAAGAGAAAATGCACTGGCATACTCAGCTGCAATGTTCTAGATTCACTCTTGATGCTTAGAAAAATGCTATTTTTAAGAAAGTTGAGGAGAAGTGTTTGAAGCCCATATTCCAGTATTACATGCAGTAATTGATACAGTTTTGCATTTTCAACATTTTCCGCTGTGCTATTTGCTTTGCTTTGTGGGAATTTTTGTAAAGCTTTAGCTGTTAGTTAAAAGAAACTTCTCCATCCCATTCTGAATACACTAGACATTTTTTCCCCCAGTAGATTTCTCAAAGCTATTTTAGAATTAAAGTCTTGCTTGTTTGCTGGAAATGCTCTTTTAGAAGCAGTATTCATATCTACGAGCTTAGTTTCATGCCAGAGTTAACACTGGATCTGTTTTTAAGGCTTTCACAATAATGTGGTCAAAATAATTCCAGATTTGCTTAGCCCGGGTGCTGAGTCTGATGTTGTCATGGAAGAGGGAAGTGATGACAATGACAGTGAAAGAAACAGTGGACTCTTGGATGAAATGGAGGAATCTGTGGGCCATGATGCTGAGATGGCAATCATGAACCAGAATGACAATGGAGAAATGCAGGATGCTGATCCTGACCAGGATGAGAGTAATAGGATGATCAGGTGAGTTTTTGCACAGCACATAGTTGAACTTGTTTCCACTATTGCCTCTGCTAGCTATATCTGTCAATATATCACCCTAGGAGTAAGGTGATAGGTTTCACCTCTTTTGAAACTTAACATGGCACTAAAAATTTAGTGTCTCCTGCAAATATTAGTGTATAAGAATAGATGTGGAAAAATGCAGATCTAAAAGTCCAACCCACACATTTGCACCCCTGTGTAATGCCCTTGTTGTGCCAGAATAATGCTACAGTTTGTAACCAGAGCCGTGTATAAATTTTTATTGTTTATTTAGTATATTTATGTCAGCTGCTCTTCCTCCAAAATCCCTCAGAATGGCATACATGGAGTGTGGGAGGAGCCACCTAATGCTTCATTTGCGTGTCATTTTGGTTGGCCCAGTAAAAGTATTGCTCTGATAGGACACTTTTCTTATGGAATTTTTCTTATGGGTCAACAGTACTAGCCTTACTCTTTGTTTCTCTTGTTCTGTTTGTTCTCCTGGAGACATAGCCACAGAGGACAACAAATTAACGTATCTCACTTTAGAAAGATTTGTTTTGCATGTTTATTAAAATCTATTGACTGGTGTGTGGTTTCTTTTAAGCCCTTCGACAAGCAACAATATTCCATTAATGAGAGTAGTGCAATCTATTAAACATACAAAAAGGAGAAGCAGCACAGTGATGAAAGAGGGGTGGATGGTTCACTACACAAGCAAAGACACTCTGGTAAGAAAGATGCTAAACAAAAGAAGTCTCTGAACATCACTGATAAATTGTGACTCCCAAATGATTTTGGTGGTGCTTCCCTCATTCTCATTGACAGTCAAGGATTAGTGCACGTGTACAAAATGCCTTGGGGCCCTCCAAAGGCAGACCAAGGCCACAGAACAAAATCTTGACCAGAGGTATGCCTGAGCAACTTTATTTAAGAGCAAAAGAGTCTTTTAAAGAGAGAAAGTCAGTCATGTATGCTTGCAGTTTCAGACTGCAGAGTGGAAACTTTGAATGTGAACAGCTTGAAGTATGTTTTAAGGAAGATTTGCTACCTTTGTCAGGGCTAGATTAGACTTCAAAACAAACAGAAGGGTCAGATTTAACCCTGGCATGCTGTAGAATGTGAAGCATTTTGAAGGAAACCAAATCAAGATGTGGAAAACAGCTTTCATCTGACTATCTTTTTTGTTGTTGTTGTTAGATAAAAAGGAAATCCATAGCTTTCATAGGGCACATTGAGAATTATAGCCCTGCGCAATGCAAGGCAGTGGTGCAATGCTGTAACATGAGGCACTTTGAGATAAGACTTTGGAGGAATGATATTGGCCAGTTTCCTTCATATCTGTTGGACCTGGATGGTCAGTCCAGTTTTGTGTTATACCTTGGACAAAGCAACTATTTTTGTACCTTAAAATACCTTGGATTATGTTGCTCATGGAAGCAGACTTAAAAGCATCTTTTTCAGAACTATGGTCTATGCCCTAATTACATGGGAAACTGCCTTATAATACAGATTTACACAATTGGTCCATTTGGCTCACTATTGTCCTGACCGTCGACTATGCTCCTTGGCTTATTGCCATGACATTATTGCCTCAGTTTATGCTGGCACAGGAAGAAGACACATCATGGCAGCAAACATTGGCCATATCTTCCAAGGCCCTGGGGCTGCATGAGAGGGACACAGACAAGAGTGGTGCCTTTACAACTCAAGTAAAGTCAAATGGAGCCCTAAGGTGCTGTCACTGTGCAGGCCACCTATTATGCATGAAGGAGGAAGGAGCATTTAGACTCCAACAAAGTCCTTTTTTCCCTCTTGATCATTCTGTCTAACCTGTGATGCACAGGTTGATCACCTTTTTAGCAGAATGGGTATAAATGAAAGGAAGTCCTATATTGAATGGGCTTGCAGGCTCTCACTATTCTATTCTCAGTCAGCTTTGTAAGTATGCCAGTGTACAACAGAGGGAGAGAGATTCACACAAATTATCCAGCTTCCAATTAAACAGAGGCTTCCAATTAGGTTTTCTTACCCACAACTTAACCTTAACTCTAGTTGAAACATAATTGCCCATTTTTTTACAGCTACAACATAGCACTGAGCCTAGGGCTTGCCAATTAGAAGGTCAGCAGTTTGAATCCCCACGACGGGGTGAGCTCCCGTTGCTCGGTCCCTGCTCCTGCCAACCTAGCAGTTTGAAAGCACGTCAAAGTGCAAGTAGATAAATAGGTACCACTCCGGTGGGAAGGTAAATGGCATTTCTGTGTGCTGCTCTGGTTTCGCCAGAAGCAGCTTAGTCATGCTGGCCACAAGACCTGGAAAAACTGTGGACAAACATTGGCTCCTTCAGCAGTAAAGCGAGATGAGTGCCGCAACCCCAGAGTCGTCTGCAACTGGACTTAACTGTCAGGGGTCCTTTACCTTTTACAACATAGCATAACTTCCATTACTGCCTGGTAAAGACATATCTAGGTAATCTTAACGATCACTCACCTGTTAGATTCAGTCTGTATATGGTCAATTAATGTAGAATGCTAACTGTTGCTACTAGTAACATTCAATAGATTTTATTGCATTAGCCGTGTGGCCTTAGCATGATATACATAGAAATAACAACATAAAATGGGGGTGGGGAGGTAAAGGTAGATATCGTCCTGGGCGAATACTTAAAGAAAGAAAAAAAAAAAAAGGATGACAAAAGCGACAGGGGATTTAAAAACTAGTAACATTCTGAAACTCCCGTGACAGCATGCTGTATGTAGATATTTCTGGGGGAAGCCAGGTATACATCTCTGATGAAACTTATGTAGAAGAAAATGCAGTTTTCAGGGAACAACAAGGGGGGAAAAAGGTTTTTTAAAATACCTATTACTTTTGGATAAGTTTAAAACAATACCATTGAGTATTTCTCTGTATTGAAAATGAAATTGGTGTCTCTTTGTCATCCCTCACAATCTTCAAGTTGCATTATCTCATTTAATTTTATTTCATTGTTTCTTCAAATTTTCTTAAATTATTTTTGATTGTTTTTATTTCAACACAGAGGAAACGTCACTACTGGAGATTAGACAGCAAATGTATTACACTGTTTCAAAATGACACTGAAAGCAAATACTACAAGGTAAAATTGGGTTCTGGTTTTATATAGTGTATTCCAGAATGCAGCTATGATTAAAGTTTATGTTGTGTTTGTTAATATTTCAAAGAGATGGATGAGCACCATACACCCACCCACATATGCACATCTGATTGAATTGGAAATCAGCTGAATAGGTTCCCAAAGATACAGACATACCGGGACATAGCTTGACTTGTGCCTAAACCAATCCAAATTCACCAGTGCCACCATGAACCAGCAGCTGATGGTGGTGGAGGAGGAGTGTGCACAGAGACACCAGAGAAAGATCTGTGGCTGGTGTCCTTTTTCCATCCTTGGGACCCCCTGGGAAACTTACCAAACCTGCTGTTCCTGGAAAAATGCAGCTGATTTCTGAGTAAGACACAGCCCTGGGCAGCCTGAGGAAGCTGCATCCATCTTGAGCCTGCTCCTAAAAAAGAAGCCTAGAGTGAGAGACTAGATTGATGTCAGCAATTTCCAGCAGCCCTTCTCTTTGTCAGATTTTGGGTGGGTGAGCTGTGAGCTTCTTTGGGCCCAAGGAGGATGGGTGGAGTCCTGGGGGAGAGCCAGGAGGCTGAGAGGGGAGGCATGTTGATATCAGTTTGTATTTATTAAAGTTTTCTATTTATGTAACATTTTTATATGTAGTGGTGTATTTTTGTAATATTTTAGTTGCCTGTTGCTTTATTTTCTTGAACACTGCTTAGGGTATATATGTGTGTGTGTGCTTGTTTGTGTGTGCTTGTTTGTGTGTGTAGATAGAGCCATATAGAAATGATCTAAATAAACCACTAACCTCTCCCATCCAGCCAGCCACTTTTCATCCTACCAGCACATCACACGCACGCACGCATGCGCACACACACACACACACACATTATTTAAAGCTCATTTCCCTGGCTGGTGAAAAGAGCTATACAGTGGTACCTCTGGTTAAGAACTTAATTTGTTCTGGAGGTCCGTTCTTCACCTGAAACTGTTCTTAATCTGAGTTACCACTTTAGCTAATGGGGCCTCCCACTGCCACCGCACAATTTCTGTTCTCATCCTGAAGCAAAGTTCTTAACCCGAGGTACTATTTCTGGGTTAGAAGAGTCTGTAACCTGAAGCATCTGTAACCTGAAGCATCTGTAACCTGAGGTACCACTGTAGAAAGAGAGAAGAGAGGCTACAGGACTGAAAATCATGGATGGGGGCTCACAGCCCACTAAGCTTCTCCTAAGGGTTCTCAATTAGAGTGGACTTTGGTCCTCACCCCATTCCCCTTAGCAGGTTGGAGAGTTACAGCCTTTTAGAGGGGAATTATTTTCCAGAATGGATTTTAAAGCTTTTTCTTTTCTTTCAGCGAGCATTATGTGATCCCCAAAGTTGATATCCAGGCCCAACCCAGAGGAATTTCTTAGGCATCTCTAATACTTAGCTACATTGTTAAGCTAATAGTTCTTATTTAACTGTGCATCATAGTACAGTCATACCTTGGGTTGAAGTAGCTTCAGGTTGAACATTTTCAGGTTACGCTCCGCAGCGACCCGGAAGTAACGGAACACGTTACTTCCAGGTTTCGCTGCTCGCGCATGCTCAGACGCTCAAAATGACGTCATGCGCATGTGCGGAAGCGGCGAATCGCGACCTGCAGATGTGGGTTGTGTTCGCTTCAGGATGCGAACGCGGCTCCGGAACGGATCCCGTTTGCATCCAGAGGTACCACTGTAATGTCCAAATGGACTTCCCTGAGTGTAGCTGTTTCAGGCTCTAAACCTAAACCACCTCTGATTTATTTCATTGGTGTTTATTAAGGGAAATGACAAAAGAGACTCCTTAGCTTCTCTATTCAGCTGTTATCCCAGCAGCCAGGAAATCCATTCTAATATTTGTGCCAGGAATCTGATCAATGCCTAAGTACTAGCAGGATCCACAGGATTTATGGGGTTTGTGAAAGTGGTAGGAAGAAAAGTGGAGATGGGACAGGACTGCTGTTACTTGCAAACTAAAAATACTGACAAAGTTCACCCACGCCAGGCTCAAATACATAAATTATGGGTTTTAAAACCTGCAGATTCTTGTCTGTCTTGGTTCAGATTCCAATCCTGCCTTGGACCATGTTCTGAAAATGTTGCAGTTTTGTCCACACCAGCTCTCTTCGTCCACAAAATCACTCCTTGCCACCTCTACCTCCTGAAACACCTTTCCCTTCCCTTTCCTGTCAAACAGCCCTGGGGTCAGCAGATTTCCTCCTTTCACTTTCTCCTTCTCTGTCAACATCTTGTAATTGTCAGCCCAGGGAGCCATCAGAAAAGCATGAATCCCAAAAGCTGGCGATGAGTCTCAGAAACTGTAATCAAGTAGGTGTTTGAAGTACTCTTTGTTCATGAGAAAGTGTTTTCAAAATTAATCGCCATTATCATTTTTCACAGGAAATTCCATTGTCTGAGATTTTATCTCTGGAACCTGCAAAAAACTTCAATTTAATGCCACAGGAAGCTAACCCCCATTGCTTTGAAATAACCACAGCAAATGTTGTATACTACGTCGGGGAAAATGTGGAAAACCTGCCAAGCCCTCCAGCTAATAACAATGTTCTCACAAGTGGTTGTGGCCTAGATGTTGCAAGGATGTGGGAGATGGCCATCCAGCATGCCCTCATGCCTGTTATTCCCAAAGGGGCATCCACTGGTTCAGGACCAAGTCTACACCGTAAGCTAATTAATTTTCTACTTTAAAATAAGCCACTGGATGAAACCATGTGGACTAGACCCTCTTTATTGGCAGTATAATTACGTTGTGCAATTTTACTCGGACACTTTGGTGTATACATTATTCTAAGGTAAGCAGCTAGGGACATCAACCTTTCACTTACGCTGTTATTATCCAGCATGTGGTTTCCAAGGAAGTTTAACACGTACTTTGATGTCTGGATATCATGATGGTTATACAGATTAATTTCGCACAAGATCAGTGTAGGGGTGAATCCCATCCCTCAGTCCCCAGACCTTTGCAGGAGCTGTGAAAGGCTGTTGACATATTGCTGTGGAGTCACAGATCAGGCAGTATTACTTCAGAACCAAAAATATTTCCTAATGGATGGTGTGGTTAGGTTCGGGGATGTTATACCTCTGCTATTTAACGGCATCAATTTAATAATAACTTTATATCACATACATCATTATCCAGAAGGGGAGGCTCGTTCTAGAAGAAAAGGTACCTTCCTCCAACACACCTCATCCCTGAGCCCACCACTGCCATAATACTGTGAGGGTCATGGTATTATGGCAGTGGGGCTTTCCTCTACCACGCTCAAGTAGTGGATTCATATCATTCTGTGCATTCACAGCAGAAGTAATTTCCATACATTTTCTTTCTAGGAAATATATCCATCAGTATCTCGGTGTCAAATTGCCAGGTCCAAGAAAATGTGGTAAGTTTTCTCAGTGTTTATGACAGATGTGATAGAACTCAGTTTGCAAAGTCATTGATCTGTTTGGAAAACTTTGAGACGATGTCTAATTGGGCATTTTCTTTAGAGAAGGACAAAAAAATTAGCCATTGAAGAAATGATTTTTACAGCAGCTTTGATTTTTGGTTTCCAGTTTTTAGAAAAAGGCCAAAATCTTGGGGGTTAATTTATATTCCTCTTTTGTAGCACCACAGTAAGATTACACCAGTGTAAATGGTCTGAGATTAGAACCATATGAAACAGTTGTATTATATTTTCCACTGAATTCCAGTTGCACAATCACAAGTGGGGAGAGTGCTGTTGTGTTTCACTCTTGCTTTCAGGCTTCTGTCAAAACAAAAAAAATTCCTTCCAGTAGCACCTTAAAGACCAACTAAGTTAGTTCTTGGTATGAGCTTTCGTGTGCATGCACACTTCTTCAGATACACAGTGTGCTACTGGAAGGAATTTTTTTTGTTTTGACTATGGCAGACCAACACGGCTACCTATCTGTTTCAGGCTTCTGGTTGGCCTCTGTGAGAACAAGATGCTCAACTAGATTGGCCTGATCCAGTGGGCTCTTATGTTAACCGCACAAGTCCATTTACTTGGACTTAAGTTGAAATCCCACCTTCCTTATTGGAATTCAGTTGATACAGGGAACCTTCCAAATAACCTAGGGCCTACACTACATTCCATCATTGGAATGTGATGGAGTTTAGAGCCCTTTAGAAGAGTTGCCTCTCCCCACCTCACAGACTCACAAACCCAAAGTTTCTTCAGAGTAGGGAAGAAAGTATGCAGAGTTCTTAAATGCTACTGAACATGTGATGGGTATTTGGTAGCTCCTTCACTTCTGTTGATGCCTAGTAACTTTGAATGTACTGCGCGTCTGCACAAACATTCAGGGTCCATTTATACACTTCAGGAAGGACCAAAGTCATTGCACATAATTCCAAAATGAAGCCAGACTCCAGATAGGTTCTGATGCGTTGCCTTACCAGAACACGACTTCTGCCACCGAACTGCATTTTGAATGGAATTCAGCAGCATTTCTGTCCAATCGTTTTCTGAATTGACTTTATTTCCATACTCATCATGTTTAACATGCAACATCTTTGTACTAACAGGATATCAGTACAGTATACCAAATCTTTCCAGATGAGGTGCTGGGATCAGGACAGTTTGGAATTGTTTATGGAGGTAAGACTGGCATCCCACTGTCATAGTCGGAGAAGATTGCCTGAAATCATTGGACAAAGTAGGCTCCAATCCTAATCCCACTAACCTGGGAGTAAGACCCATGGAATATGGTTAGGATGACTACTCAGGTGTGTCTGACATTCTACACAAGCTCTACAACTTCATTACAGTTTTCCAGATCATTGCAATTAAGATGGTGCCCGCCCTGTGGAATGCCCTCCCTTCAGATGTGAAGGAAATAAGCAACTATCTTCTCTTTAAAAGACATCTGAAGGCAGCCCTGTTTAGGGAAGTTTTTAATATTTAATGCTGTATTGTTTTTAACACTTGATCGGAAGCCGCCCAGAGTGGCTGGGGAAACTCAGCCACATGGGCGGGGTATAAATAAATAAATAAATAAATAAATAAATAAATAATAATAAGCTTTGCAAGAGGTTGACCAAGGTGGTGGCGAGAGGGCTGCAGAGCCAATCTGGCACTCCTGCCAATGCATTGCCCATGTAAACAGCAGGGCCACGGCTAAGTTCTTCAGTGAGGAACTGGCAACAAGTCTCTGCCAGTTCCAATTAGGTTGCTCATATGCCTGCACGTCCCCAGTCCTATTCTCTTGTTTAGAAGCCATTGTAGGTCAACTCCCACTGGTTAGGATAGTAGTAGCAGCACTGATGGAAAAGTAATTTTTAACACACTGATAAAATTCCTCAACCTCTGAAAGAAGCAAATACAGTTACAACACAACATTAGTGAATTATATATGTGTGTGTGTGTAATTGTAACATACAATTTAATACAAAATATGTATAATATATAAATAATAAAAATAATATTAATGCACCATATAATTACAAGTACTTGGCAATCATTTTTAATGATTTTATGCAATTTTATACACTTTTTTTTATAAAAAGACGACAAGTTTAAAATTATTGGAAATTCCACAACGTAAAAAGTGAATATTTTATGTCATCATTTGCCATGTAAAACTAAATTATATTAATTTAACCAGAATATATTTTGAGTTCCCAAGTCATGTGACAACATTTCAGCACCCCTCATTTTGGGAATTTGAAAGTTGAAATATTAAACACACCATGTACACAGATGGATTGCTGGGAAAGGTGTCCTGTATTCTTCCAGACCAGGGGTCAGCAAACTTTTTCAGCAGGGGGCCGGTCCAATATCCCTCAGATCTTGTGGGGGGCCGGACTATATTTTTTGGGGGGGAAATGAACAAATTCCTGGAGCCCCACAAATAAACAAGCGATGCATTTTAAATAAAAGGACACATTCTGTTCATGTAAAAACACCAGGCAGGCCCCACAAATAACCCAGAGATGCATTTTAAATAAAAGGACACATTCTACTCTCATGTAAAAACATGCTGATTCCTGGACCATCCGCAGGCTGGATTGAGAAGGTGATTGGGTCAGATCTGGCCTCCGGGCCTTAGGTTGCCTACCCATGTTCCAGACCTTTCCCTCCTGTGACATGATGGGAGTCCTGTGGACACAGGGTTCTTTGTACTATAAACAATGCCTATTTATTTAGTGGTGCTGGATTACATACCAAATTTATGGGCCAAACGAGATGTGAATGTCACACAAGCTTTTCATATTCCTTTTTATTAAAGGCAGGACTCAGGATGCATACTAATGCAGAAGACTAGGGTGGGGTAGGGGAGGGATAATGGGCTTTTCACCCTTTCCCCTTGCACATTTTTCTTCTTCTAAAATTGACCTTCCTGATTTTTACCTATAAAAGGAAATATACTGGTCCTTTTTTGCCTTGAAATCTGTCTTAACAATTTCATGAAATTAAAGAAAGAAGTCTGAATGGTTTAGAGCATTCTTGTCTCAGAGGATACCTTGACAGTTAGGTTTTGTATAAAACACACAAAAAATACTTGAGTTCTGGAAAGGTGACGCTTCTCAGAGCTGATCATGTTAATTGGCATATTTTTCATCAAACAGGAAAACATCGCAAAACAGGAAGAGATGTAGCAATTAAAATCATTGACAAACTGAGATTTCCAACTAAGCAAGAAAGCCAACTTCGTAATGAGGTTGCAATTTTACAGGTATCTTTTATTTAATTACCAATTATATCCTGTATGTATTTAATTTAGAGCAGGGCAATAAAACTCTTTGAGAACATGTTTCGGCAGTAGGAATCTATGTACCTCATTAAGCATTGGAACTACAGATAAAGTTTTCAAGTGATGTCTCTTTCTGAAATAATGTCTAATCTGCATTAAATATAGGAACTTTGCACCAAAAATTTCAGCAGTTTGCTAATCTGCATAGTCAGAAATAAATTTGCTTTTGAGATAATCTAGCACAATTACCCAGTGGCTGTTACGAGATCCTGTTGTGTGTCTCTGCACATGTGGTAACAAAAATAAAGCATTGTCAGCCCAATTTCTTATGCTATGAGTTGAATTAGGGCTGCATTCCTAAGTTTTGCTTCGTATTCCGTAAGCCTACAACTTATGCACATTTAACTTGTGTGCATTCAGGTTTACACATGTGGCAAAAATCTTTTAAGAAATTCAAAAGTGGGTGGAAAGCGGGTGAGATTCTGGGGGAAATGACTTTGGCCTCCCACCCACCATTGAACCCATTGTATTTTGACTATACATGATTTTGCCTTTAGGCTCTATCCCTGGAACATAACCCCTACGTAAGTTGAGGACTTACTGTATAAAGGTAAAGGGACACCTGACCATTAGGTCCAGTGGTGACCGACTCTGGGGTTGCAGCACTCATCTCACTTTATTGGCCGAGTGAGTCGGTGTACAGCTTCCAGGTCATGTGGCCAGCATGACTAAGTCGCTTCTGGCAAACCAGAGCAGCGCACGGAAATGCTGTTTACCTTCCCGCCAGAGCGGTACCTATTTATCTACTTGCACTTTGACGTGCTTTTGAACTGCTAGGTTGGCAGGAGCAGGGACCGAGCAACGGGAGCTCACCCCGTTGCGGGGATTCGAACCGCCGACCTTCTGATCGGCAAGTCCTTTAACCCACAGCGCCACCCGCGTCCCTTTTTACTCTATACCAATAGGGAACTCATTCTCTGAGCGCCAATCCATATATAACATGAGGGGGAGATATCAGCAGGTTGGGATGTCTTCCAAACAAAAACCTAATAGAGAAACCTCCCAAAATCACTTAACAAGGACTGATCACACTTGGTGGGCATGGACTGTTGATGATGCAAAGTTGATGCAAGGTTGATATGCAAGGTATGGGATTGCTTTTAAGATCCAAGAGCAGAGTACTGGAAACAACCTGAGGATAACATGGCTCAATTCTGATACTCTGAAAGAAATTGATTTGGACAAGGTCTCATTTCCATATAGAAGTTTAAAACGTTATCAATGACAAAGCATATTTTTGATAGTTTCTAAGCACATTTGGGCTGTCCTGTTATACTTTGCATAGCAAATCATTGGTGGCATAATTCTGGCTGTTTTATACTGGTGCCAAAGGGCTTGAAAAATGAATGGCTATGTCATTACCTAATGCTTCCTGAGCCTTGTCATTGGACCTAAACAAATCGGGCTCATTCAAATAGTGTTTTTCTTTGTTCATAGAATCTGCATCACCTGGGGGTTGTAAATTTGGAATGCATGTTCGAGACACCAGAAAGAGTGTTTGTTGTTATGGAGAAGCTCCATGGAGACATGCTGGAGATGATCTTGTCAAGTGAAAAAGGGAGGTTGCCAGAGCGAATCACCAAGTTTTTAATTACGCAGGTAAGGGCCCATTAAGCAGTGTCAAATGTTTTCTTTTTCTATGATATTCGCGTCATAGCTCAGACAGCACAGCATGAGACTCTTAATCTCAGGGCTGTGAGTTTGAGCTCTATGTTGGGCAAAAGATTCCTGCACTGCAGGGGTTGGACTAGATGACCCTTCTGGGGTCTTCCAACACTACAGATCTATGATTTTATACCCTTGAAATGGATAGCAGGTCACAATGTGGGTGAAGGTTTAAAGAGTGAGAGCTGTCCAGAGTGGGTAAAGTCTAATTAGGGTAACTTCCTTTTGCTTTGCTAGTATGGCTTTATCAAGTTGACTGGGTGCTGTGCCTTTCTCTGTATCTTCTCTCTGATAAAGACTAGTTGTCGCGTGCTTGACTGTATTGTTCTGAGCTTAATGTACGATGGTAACCACAAATCATGACCTACAGTGCATCTTTCAGGTGTGGTACTTGGAAGTCTACGCCAAATCCTTCTTGCATGTTGGGGCTAGCATGTAGCCTGCATGTCTCTGATGGACCCATCTCCTCTCCATCTCTGACACAGGCAGGGGTGCTTAACCAAGTTAGCCAGTAAAACATTTGGGAGACCATTTCTGTGGGTTCAAAGAAGCTGTGCTAGTGCTCAGAACTTGGGTGCCCAATTTAGATAGTGGCAAAGACCTCTTAGAATTAAGCTTATAGCTCACATTATAGGCACCATTCTCTCTTCCCCCAACCATGGGATGACTCTGAGGGGTTGTGAATGCCTCCCAATTTTTCCCCCACTCCCCCATTTTCCAGATTAAAACTTTGCTCCCATTATAATAGATAGTACCAGCCTTTAAATTTCTAGAGTTGTCTGTACCCCAACTACTGATCACTAAAGTTGGAGTACTTCCCCTAACGAATAAGAGCACAGCTGTACACGCTGCTAAAAGAATGCTTTGTAATAATAGTAGGAAGTATTGCTACTTGAGGATGCCTTTAAAATTAAGTCCCTTGTGCTTTATATTCCTGTTTGTTTACACAGCTTGGAATAAGAGCATAAAATCGCATGAATTAAGTTGTTGTGCTTGAGCTTGCTTGCGCTTGCTACTTTTCATCTCGTCTCTGGGAAAAACATTGAAACAGAAGTAAATATTGAGCAAACTATGTTACAACAGGGCTGGTTTGTTTCTTTATAGATCCTGGTTGCTTTGAGACATCTTCATTTTAAAAACATTGTTCATTGTGATCTCAAACCTGAAAATGTATTGCTGGCATCTGCTGATCCTTTCCCACAGGCAAGTAGAAACAAATTCACATTGTACAGGTAACATACAGTTCCTTTAGATAAAGCCAAATGATTGTTGAATGCCACGCCAATCTCTATGTGGTAAGAGACTCCAGGGGTCCAGCTATTTACCTGGGGTTTGGTTCCCTTGGAATGAGGGACAGCAGAGACAGTGGTGTCTTTAGGAAATATGGTTTATTTACACATGTGTACAAGCTGAGCCTACAATGGAGGGACTCACAGCGTTAACACCCCAAAAGAATCTTGCTTCTCCCACAGCCATAGCCTTGGATTCCAGCCAAAAGCAGGCATGGCTCTGGCTCTCAGCTGCCCATCCAGCTGCTAGCTTCTAGCTCACACCCCTCTACTCTGGATTTTTCTTTCTAATTATCAGACAGTTGAGGAAGGGGGGCACCCATTGTTGTCTGGCACAGAGCCACTTCCTTTGTTACCTTAGCAACCCATGCTTAGGGACCATTTCCAAGAAACTTGTCTGGCTATTACAGCAGTTGGATCCTTGTTGGAACCAGGAATTAGAAGGGACTCGGGCAATATAGCCTACCTACCCGCTCAAACTCACAACATTATTATTACTAAGAGATTTGTGCTTTGTTCTTTTTCAGTTTGATAAATAGTTGAAATGGCTTGATTTAGTCAAGCACTCACCTAATGCCTAACAAGTCCCTTTTACCTCTACATATGCAAATTAATGAATCTACCCTGTGGTCTGAGCTGTATATACACAGACCAGACCACATGAAGATACCACTTGCTTCCACTTGGTACACTGGTACACAAATCTGCTGTAGTCAAGAGGAAAGTAGAAAACAGGTGTGTCCTTATTTTCAGCAGCCTCCCCAAGTCTCTAAAGGTAAAGGGACCCCTGACCATTAGGTCCAGTCGTGACCGACTCTGGGGTTGCGGCACTCATCTCATTTTATTGGCCGAGGGAGCCGGCGTACAGCTTCCAGGTCATGTGGCCAGCATGACTAAACCACTTCTGGCAAACCAGAGCAGCGCACGGAAATGCTGTTTACCTTTCCGCCGGAGCGGTACCTGTTTATCTACTTGCACTTTGACGTGCTTTCGAACTGTTAGGTTGGCAGGAGCAGGGACCGAGCAAAGGGAGCTCACCCCGTCGCGGGGATTCGAACCACCGACCTTCTGATTGGCAAGTCCTAGGCTCTGTGGTTTAACCCACAGTGCCACCCGCATCCCCCAGTGCCACCCGCATCCCCCAGCGCCACCCACATCCCCCCAAGTCTCTAATCTCTCCCAACTGGTTGTTTTTTTAAAATTGTGAAGAAGAGTAGCAGAGATATTTCCCCCCCCTCTCTCTCACACACACTATATCTGCAAGTGCCAAGAAGTTTTTGGGTGCACCCAGATGTGTGTAATTTCAAGAATGAACCTGTTGTGGAAGTGCGTTTGCCCAAATAAGATAAAATATGTTCTTGCTGTGTATAGCCAAAGCCTGCTATCACAGTTGTGAATGGCTGGCTTCCTTTGACATAATGATGTGGTCTCTTCCTTCTCCCTCTCTGGAGCAGTTTTTCAAGTTGGGGAAAAAAAACATTGAAGGCCGTTTTTGTTTTTAAAGTCAAGCAACAAACATATAAGTAATCGGAGGTATTATCCTGTGCTTTAAAACATTGTATAAACAGGCAGTTTGCATGAAGCACAGAGAAAGGGGGAAGACAATCAACTGCACATCGTTGCATCTGTCATTGATATTTCAAATGCAGCAGGAAGCTGGGCTCATCCTGCTGGGGAAACATGATATAACTCATGGGTTTGTGGACATTTAGTACACCTACGTGACTATACATTTACTAGGGGTGTGCAATGGGTTTGTGTCGAAGCCAGATAACAAAGCAAATGAGGTCTCTCCCCCTCTACCAGTTTGAAAGATGATGTCAGTAACACTGCCACTGTGTGAAATAAGGGCTCTCACAAAGCCCTGCGTTCCTCTGTCACTCTGTTTCTGCACTTCACTATATCTTGTTCCTTTATGTTTTCCTATAAGTTTCTCTTGGTCTCTGTGCTTTGCAAGTATTGAGGCTGTCCAAAGTAATGCCTGTGGATCACTGAAGAGCTCAAAGTTGTTTTTTCTTAAAGTACAGCAGTGGGAGGATTTATTTATTTTTAAGTTAAAAGCTTCATCCTCTAATTGTTTAAAGTAAGTAAGAAAGAGAAAGCCTCTCAGAAATGTGAAACTACTATGGATTATGGAGGAAAGTCAATCCCTTTCATTTCCCCCCCATAAAAAGCCCCTGAACCTATTTGTCTACATTTTGGAGGGTGTTCCCGTGCTTGTAAATGTAATCCAGTTGGCTCAAAGTGGTGAAAAGTTATAGCTGCTTTTAGTTTTGGAATGAAGAACGCAGCTTGTTAACACAAAGCGACACAGAACCCAAAACATAAACTGAAACTGAAGGAGCACAGGGCGGCTTAGAAAGAGATTGGATTTTTATTTTTATTTTTTTTAAATGCAGTTACAAGATGAATGTTGAGGCCCATACATTGGCTAACACGCTTCCTTTACCCCTTCTCTATTGTATCCCCAAACTGTAGGGACTGGTTCTGTCCTTTTTGAATACACTGCTAGGCACTATGGACTACGTATGGTTTTACTTTATAATAACAATAGGCCTTTTGGAAAGACTGTTGTCTGCTTGAAACATTCTTTGCTCAGTTATGTGGGGGAGAAACAGCTTTAGCACATGCTAAATTGACTTATAGATAGCACAAGCACCGTGTTGACTTGCACATTGTTTCTTTGAAAAACATCGGAATAAAACAAAAAATACAAATTTTATTATAATGGCTTTATACTAAACAGGTGAAACTTTGCGACTTTGGTTTTGCACGGATCATTGGAGAGAAATCATTCAGACGTTCAGTTGTGGGTACGCCAGCCTATCTCGCTCCTGAAGTCCTGAGAAACAAAGGGTACAATAGATCATTAGATATGTGGTCTGTGGGGGTTATTATCTATGTCAGCCTTAGTGGCACGTTTCCATTCAATGAAGATGAGGACATTCATGATCAAATCCAGAATGCTGCTTTTATGTACCCACCGAACCCCTGGAAGGAAATCTCACATGAAGGTATTTATTTTTTTCAATTCTAGTACATACATATTTGAGAAGAATCAAAATATTTACTTATTTTTTATAGAAAATATAGATTTCATCTTTTCACACTAGCTTCCCAAAGCAGCTAACCACCATTTTTAAAATGATCATAAATACAATAAAAATATTCAATTAATTCCTCCTCAAGGTAGACCAGTTGAAAGAAAAGAACCTTAGTGAATCATGTCCATTAACTTCAAGGGGTCGGGTCTGAGTAAGACATTCTGAGTATGACTAAAACTGAATACCACCCAATAAAATCACTTTCTAAAACTCATCTGCTCATTTCTTTACTGTGTTTATATAGATGTTCAATAACAGGAGTCCTCTGGGTAGCTCTTAAAGCAGTAAATAAATAAATAAACAAATAAATACCAATAAAATACATTGTGAAACAAGAAAAACCATGAAAATTAGTCAAAACAAAAAAAAATCCTTTTTTTTTGTTTTGACTATGGCAGACCAACACGGCTACCTATCTGTAACATGAAAATTAGAAAAGTGAAACTAAAAATTAATCTGAGAGGCCCAAACCGTTAAACATAGATTTTTTAAAAGGTCTGACTGAAAAGGTGAACGAACTCGCTCGGCTGTTTCATAATCAGGGTCCAGTTACTTAAATGGCCCTGTCCCTTACCCACCTTACTTTATATATGATCGAGCCCTTAGAGAAGGGCCTCTGAGAAATATTGTAAGGGTCAAGTATGTACAATTGCAAAAGTGTGTATTTAAACCCAGCCAGGTGTAAGCTAAAAACTAGAGAATATTGCAGCAGAGGAACAGAACAGAAGGGAAGGTCTCTGCAGTTTGACTCAGCCTCTCTGAGAAGAGAGTTCCTGAGCATGAATGCAGCCGCTAAAAAGAACTCTCCCATGTCCCTGCCAGTCACATTATATTGGCAAGGAGAACCTCTCCTAGAGATCTTAATACACAGACAGATTCATAATGGATAAGACAGTCTTTCAGGTAACCAGGTCCAAAGTTATCTAGGGCTTTTGAAGTAATAATACATTATTCTTGGAGAGAAAGCTTTCAAAAATTGGAATGGAGATCTATTCACTTTATTGCTGCCTTGCATTTCCTCGCAATATCTTCAATTTCATCTCTCCAAATGCATGGCAATATTATTTGTTATAAGGCAGAGAACAAAATGTATGATTGCTAGGCTACACTGACTAATGTTTTAACTCAGTACAAAGCTGTTTACTATTTTCAGTGATGGACGCTTGATTAGCAAGTTTGGGAGTTGTGAACATTATAGTTGTGTGAGGTAGTAACTTGGAAAAAAGTTGTTTTTATTTATTCATTTAAAAAATCAAGCTAAATCAACTTGCATGGCTGTCATAAACAGATTTATTAGTTCTGTCCTGCAATTTATTAGTTCTGTCACTGCCTCTGAACCATATGCGATTTCAAGAGGTATTTGAGAGTGATGTCTTCTGAAATTATGTTTTTTCTCCAGCTATTGATCTCATAAATAATTTGCTGCAAGTGAAAATGAGAAAGCGCTATAGTGTGGACAAGACGTTAAGCCACCCATGGCTACAGGTAATGCTGTAAATTTCATGCCTTTCACCTTGTTTGTAGTGAAGATAGACCAAACACAGACAAAAAGTTTACCACAGCCACTCCAAAACTTCAGCACAGTTACCTCGATGAAGGCTAAATATTACAATCCCATCCGGAGACTGTGGGAAAGTGTGCCCACTTTGCTATGCAAGGCCCTGGGAGCCAGGCTGTAACATTAGAATGTTTTCCCTCCACAGGCATTTTGCATACAGTAGGGATCTGGAGCCTATAGCCCTCTAGATGCTGACTGACTACAACTCCCATCATCCCTGGCTATGTTTCCTATCATTAGTATACAGCGTCTTTATGCTGGCCAGAGTCATAGCTCAATGGTTGACCACATGCTCAATCATCAGAGTTTTCCTCTGCTAATCTTGAAGCATAAGGAGTGTGTGTGGAGGAAACAGTTGGCTAAGTTTGCCCTGGTCACCCAAATAAATACTATTTTAAACATTCCTGTTGTTGCTTGGTGCTGCTCTTGCTTTTTGTTTCCATGCTGTTGAGTTATTTTTGTCTATATTGATTTATTGTCGTTTCATTGTCTTGAAGGCAGAAAGGTGTGATGAACATACTTTTGATAAATTATACATGCAAAATTTTGAGGAAAAGACCCCATGAACCTTTGGGCCTGGTTCTGGAACCTAGCTTTTCAAAAATACTTTCCAGTGAACCTAGACACATTGATGTGTTCTCATATCCAACGTTTTCACAAAAGATGCTATGAAAGTAACACGTGCTGCATCACTTAAATTTTAACAGAATTATGGAGAAACAGGCATCTGTAGTATTATCTGTAAGACTGCTTTTCAGATATTAATTTAAGCATGTTGTTTTTCTCCCTACAGGATTACCAAACCTGGCTAGACTTGCGTGAGCTCGAATCTAAAATAGGCGAGCGTTATATCACCCATGAGAGTGATGATTCGCGGTGGGAACAGTATGCCGGAGAAAATGGCTTGCAGTATCCAACACACCTTATCAGCCCAAGTGCTAACCACAATGAAAACCCTGAGCCAGAAGAAGCAGAGATGAAAGCCCTCAGTGAGCGTGTCAGCATCCTTTAAATTGCAGCCCTTGTAATCTGTCAAAACACTGTGGAACTAATAAATACATACGGTCATGTTTAACATTTGCTTTGCAGAACTGCCATTATTTTCTGTCAGATGGGAACAAAGCTGTTACTCTGTTACCACCATTGATGTATGGGAGTTGCCAAGACAAATCAACAGAAGCATTCCCCCCCCCCCATTTTGTGTGAGCAACTGTGTTCTATTAACAAAAAGTTCCCAGAAACACTCAACCTGTTGTTGTGGATGATTCCTGTTGTACTCGGAGCATTCAAACCTGTTTCCACTGTGCCTTCTCAGACAAGTGTCTCCTCTTACTCATAACTTTGTGGGGTACCATGAAGCATTTGCAGGTGGATCGCTGGTTTTGTGTGCATCATGAAATTAGTATTGTACTTGTTTGCAAACTCTTGAAGAGTAGATTACTACTGCTGTTCTGTGAACAACTTTTAACGTTTTCGATGGGGTTGGGGATTTCTGTTTCTGGTTTTTGCTTTTTGCTGTGGAACAATATGTTGAGATACTGATGCAAGGAAGCATATTTTTTTTTAAAATGCAAAAGCAGCACACAGCATTGTAAATTTGCAGATGAGATGCCCTAGCATTTTGGACACTTATATGGATGCCCACAACCAGTCATGGTGCAACCTCTCTTTAAGCCTAAATGCCTTAGTAATGTAAATTGCAGCCCCTGCTTGTTCTTATGACATGCTGCTGTAACATATACATTTAGAAGCTGGACAATATGTTGCCTTTGTGTATGTTTTGAATAAAATTCTGCTGAAAAATACTTTTTTTTAAAAAATAAATATTAAATTACTTTACCAGTCCAAAGACTTGTCAAGCTTGAGGTTCTGTCAAATAAGAATAAGTGATCCTTTTCCAAGCATTACGTTACTGTGATTGTAAAGGTGTTTCACTCCCCCAAAATAGTTATTCGTTTATTTCCTTAATTTCATATTCTACCTTTCTTCCAAGGAGCTCAAGGTAGCATATTTATTTATTTTATTTCACAAAATTTATATAACACATGATTGTAATGAAACCTCGAAGCGGTTTCCAGAACCAACACATTATGCATAAAAAACAACAGTTAGAATTAAAATCGTTTCAAAGATAATTAAAATCGACAGTAAGCAAAAGAGATTATAATACATTTCTGAGTAGTATTATATTATAATACTATTATATATATATTATAATACATTTCTGCTTGCTGAAACAAAAATGTTTTAAGCAGGTGCCAAAAAGGGCAATGCCACATGCCATTGTTGAATCCATTGAAATGTTCACTATATAGCTCTGAAACTTCAGTGGAATGAAGAAGAAAAGTACAATAAGAAGAGACCTTCTGGGTCAGACCAAAAGCCTTCAAAGTCCAGCATTCTGTTCCAACGAGATGTTTGGGGAGGCCCACAATCGGAACGTGAGGACAGCCACCCTCTATTTATAGCCATTTAAAGACATAGCTACCCTCATCCTAGGGTAGTGTACATACAGAAATTGAGGTCTGGGTTTACCTGGCACTTCATGCTTATCCTATAATGTTGTGCACAGGTGTGGTGAGGGCTGTCTCTTTCCTTACCCCTATCAGCAGGTGATAGTGATGGTGACTGAAATATGAAAAGCAGCCAGAGAATCCTTGCAAAGACTTAATAGGTAAGGAGAGAAAGGTAATATGAACACAGTTGCTGTGAACATACAGGTGATTAGGAGAAGGATCAGATGGAAAACTAGCAAGGGGGAAGTAGCTGGAGTCTAAATGACAGGTGTGCCTTATACAGCAAAGGTTTTAAAAGGGTAGACACAGTTATGGGTGGCTCGGCATGACAACCAGCCGTATGTCAGGGACACAAGAGGAGAGTATTGAATGTGATGTGCAAAATTACATGTGATGCTCTGGAAGAGAGGGAGTTAATGTTTGGCTTAGACGTGCTGGAAGGAGCAGGGTTGGGTTGAAAAACCTATGTCTCCAATGTGCTGATGGATGAGATATCCAGGAAATGCTGGCAAAACAGAGAGATGGGACTGGATAAGGGTAAGTGGTCAGGAATGGAAAAGAAATATGAGTCCTCAGCATAGCGGTACCTAAAACTATGAACATAAGTGAGTACATTAAGTTATAGAATGTCAAACCAATATGCTGAAGGCAGTTTCACCCACAATAGTTTTAGGTGTCTTATCTAAAAGGTGGTATTCAAATAGAGTAGATCCACTGAAATTAATTGCTGTGACTTAAGTCAGAGCCATTGATTTCAGTGCGGCTACCCTGAGTAAAACTTAGTTGATTCCCACTTGGTAAGTTTTAAGCTTACACCTAAAATGTGTTGACTGCAACAAATAGGGTTTTTTTGCTTGCAAATACCTGCATCAAACTTACATGGCAAGGAGCCAGGATGGGCTTCAGCTGAGTGTACACTCAGTTGTATACCCGGGTTTGTCTCAGCTTAATGTGTGAACTTACAGAGACCAATAACAGTCATTTTTAGCAACTACTTTTTTGGGAAGAAATTCATCTACTCTTTTTAAATTAATTTGCTTTCAGGTTTGAAAATCTGCATGTAAAGGGAAGAAGAATCGGTGGCAGATGTCCATTGACAAATGGAATATTTACAAAGAAGTGTTAGGTGTAACCAAAAGGAGATGCAACCTTACAGTACATAGGAATAAAATTGAATTTTCATGAAGTCACCCAGTTATGCTCAAGTACTTTGCACATCAGTGAAACAATTTATTTTACATTAGTAATCCTTAGGAGCAATCATGTTGTGATTCATATGTATGCCTTTTGAGAGAGTCCTTGATGGATCGTGTACAATTGATGGTGTGCCTATGAATGCATATTGTGACAGTGGTCAATATAGGTGATTCTTCCAGACAGGACTCACCTAACTGGCCCTGTCAGTGAAAAGCCCAAACGATGGCTTCCACTTGTACAGTGGAGCTCCCACCCCCACCCTACATGCCCCCTAAAATTGACTTGGGGGTTGGGAGAAACCTCATGACGGCACATGTTGGAAAGAGATGGGAGATCATTCCATCTGGCAAGCTACAATGTTTATGCAGATGGAATGACTGGAAGATGTTGAATTCCAACTCCGTACAATGCCAAGGTAATCTAACCCCATATTTGCTGGACCTACAAATCGCAAAATATAGGCGGGCGTTTACCCTTACCAGATTTGATGTATTGCCATCTGCCTTACTAAAGGGCAGATACGAGGGCACACCCTATGCTGAACGAGTTTGCCCATGTGGTCTGAAGGAGGTGGAAACGGCTTCACATGTGTTGTTACACTGCGACCTTTACGGGGATATCAGGTTACTGTTTATCTCCCCTATCGTTCAGAAATTTCCAGGTCGATCTGAATCTCAGCGGCTGAAAATCCTACTAGGAGATAAAAACCCAGAAGTAACACTGAAAGTGGCCAAGTTTTCTGTGGCTGCGATCAAGCGGAGGGCATTAGCTGTAAAAAAAGTAAAAGATCTGACCCCTGGATACGCCCCCCCCTTTTTTTAAGCCCATACATATACTGTAGTGCATATATGAGTATGTATATGTGTGTGTGTGTGTGGGTGTGTGTGTATATGTATATCGTTTTTATGTATAATTTTACAACTTTTAATTGACACCATCATTCCCTCGTAAATTACTGCTGCCTTTTATGTTCTTTTTCTTTTCTTCTGGTCTATGACCGTAATAAATTTATTCATTCATATTCATTCAATGCCAAGGTAGATTGATGAGCACCTAGTGAAAAGCGGCAACCTTGTTTAGTTCGACTCATTCAAAAATAGGTTAAAATGCATAGGCCTGGTTCCTAAATTAAGTTAACTGAAGGAAGTTTATGAAATGAAATTTACATGTTCCTCACCTCTGCTGCCACTTGTACCACCCTAGAAAGCCATTCTTAAAAATGGGGGCAGCTGCTGGATGACCCTCTACGATTCTATGAACTTCAGTTCGGGCTTAGGTCCTATGATAAGGAAGATAATGGATTTTTTCCCCCGCAGACACATCACAAAGTGGGTGGAAGAGTGGTTGGAGTGTCGGATTAGGAGATTGGGAGAGCAGGATTCAAAACCTCGCTTGGCCAGTCAGCTCATGGGGTGATATTGGGCCAATCATTGCCTCTCGGCCTAGCATACCTCATAGGGTTGTTGTTGGGATTAAATGAAGAAGAGGAGAACTTTATGTGTCATCTTGAGTTCCTTGGAGCAAAAGCTAGGATATCGATGTGGCAAACAAATGTTTTTTGGTTTTTTTAATGCTTTATCCTACATTGTTCAGGAGCCACCCAATATCCTCCACAAAATGAATTGTCTGCAGACCAACCCTGGCAATTGTCCATGTTGGGCTGGCACACCCATGACATGATTCCTCCAACTCAAGAGTTTTGCTTCACAAAAATGACCAAAAAGGTGGGGAAGGCTATAAGAAGAGCCACTGCTCGAAATCACTGCTCTTTCACTTCTGTGTGGTTATCTCCAAAGCACCTGCAAGGTAGCTTGATTTTATGTCTCACAAAGGAGTTGGGCAAAGTCGGGTCAAGTGAATGCTTCATAGACGATATCTTTGCAAATATTTTCAAAACAAAGAGGCTATTCTTTACAGTTTCTAAATGATGTGGTAGATAAAGAAAGCATACACAGCCATGTGAGAACCAACTTCTTTCTCCGCTGCAGCACAAATTGTCTCAGTAACTGTTATTGTATTTGTTTTCATTTAAAAAACGCTTTAACCATTGAACACCAACTGAATCATTCATCCCCTTATAATGGTCTGCAGGGGGATTTGTTTTTGAAAACTTGTCAAGATTGGAGGCTCATGCAAGGAAACAACACAACTGTGGCTTTTGTATGGCTAATTTTGCACAATTATTATAATTAAGTTAAATTTGCTCTGACGTGAATGGGATACATAAAATCTGCAAAGTATGTTAACTTTTATTGTGTTCTGAAACTTACAAAACCTGTTTATTGTTGGGAGTTATACCTAGAGATTAAAACCAATACAAAGGAGGCTGCAAATTAGTATAATCTTTCAAAAGGAGGCAATTTGAATGAGTTGTTTGCCTTCCAACTCCAACTGGATCACATTTCTGAGGCCTGCTTTGAATTACTCTCATGGAAGTGCAAGGGGAACGAGCTCTGGCGAGGGGAAAGGAAGAAAGGAGAGGCCTGTGCCAAAATGTAATGTGTTTGTTTTTATAGATTTGAATTTATATACCCTGCCTCTTCATGGGGACATAAGGAGGCAAGGTGAAACCAAATAACCTACAAATAAAGCTAGAAACTCAAGATTTGGGTGGCTGGTTCAAATCTAAACTAATTCTCTTCCTATACTTCTGGCTTTAAGAATTTAGGAAGCTGCCTTAAACTGGATAAGACCGTTGGTCTGTCTACCTCAGCACTGTCTACACCAACTGGCAGTAGTTCTTCAGGGTATCAGATGGGGTTTTTATATTGCCAGCTCTAGCTGAAAATGCCATGAATTGAACCTGCAGCACAGACGCTCTGTCTCTGAGCTCTGGTCCTTCCCACTACCACTATTAGTCTTCCCCTGAAACTTTAAGGGGGTTAAAGACCAACAAATGTTTGATGTCCTAAGCTTGCTCTTTGCTCCTTGTTTGATCATTTCCCAGGCACCAAGTCTTCCTATATTCTCAAGGCTTCCCCTGCCCTATTCCGTCACCTTGCCTCCAGCTCCATTTCCTGACAGTTGCCCTCCCGCCCTCCCTGTCTAGCACCACATCTTCTGTCTCGTTCTGACTGACTGCAATCTGTAGCTCTTCTTTTTCATGGGCTCGGGCAAAATGACCTTTCA